ACATTTGGGACTGAAGAAAAATTCACTTGAAGCTTTTTAAAGAGTTTTACTTCACCTCTTCCATCAACTTTTGTAGGACTATGCCATGAAGTACTGGAGAGACAATGGCACCCCAGTGGAGAAGTTGCACATGGGATTCGCTGCTTATGGACGTACCTTCCGTCTGACATCACCAAACACTGATGTTGGAGCCCCAGCGAGTGGCCCTGCATCAGCTGGTCAATTCACACGTGAAGCTGGATTTTGGGCCTACTATGAGGTATACTTTAGAAAAGGCTGGCGTACACCCATTCAAAGATGATGTACAGTACATATCAATTACATTGGCATTACATACCCTGCTTGAAAATGCTCCGTATTTATATAAGACAATGTACAAATTTACTGTAAAGCTACACAAACCTTATGATATCGTCTATGGTCTAGATTTGCGGCTTTGTGAAGGACACCACCATTCATTGGATTGAGGACCAGAAGGTTCCCTATGCCAGCAAGAATAATGAGTGGGTGGGATTTGACACCAAGGAAAGCTATGAGATCAAGGTAGGTAGCACATCAGCTCTACATCTTAAACATATTAAGAGCATATTCAAAGCATTTACACCAATTTCTATTTACTTTTGCCCCAATAGGTGCGTTACCTGCAGGAGCAGAAGTTTGGTGGTGCCTTTGTGTGGGCCCTCGATTTGGATGACTTTGCTGGACGGTTCTGCGGAGAGGGCAAACACCCTCTGCTGGCTCATCTGCGCAAACTTCTTGATATTGGTAAGTCCAAGCCATTTTTATGCAGATGTTTTCCTTTAAAGGTATTGGATTACGGACAAGACACATAGTAACTCTCTAGTTGTCTGTACATAGATCATTATTACGCCTAGTGCTATATTACCCTGTCAGGAATAACTCTCTTTGGCTACCATATTAAACGTTTCCGCTGAGTTTAATCTTAAATTTTTATAATTTAAATCTTATTTAAATTGGCATCAGGTGTCACAAAGTTGACACCAGGTAATAAGGGAGTATATTAATTGTAGATGACATGATGGCATATACTACTACAGTCATTTACTATAGAAAGATTTTACCACCATGCATGTTTAAAATAGTATTTTACTTGTAATACTACTTTGAGAGGGCTGTTCAGCCTTACTGTTAACCTTAAGAGTGACCCACACTCTCAGTAGTTTCATGGAGTAATAAAGTCATAGACAGTACTGTCCAGAATTTTTAATGAATCAAGTAACAATCAAGATATGTAGACATTAATGGACATTTATTTATATGCTTTAAACCCCTTCTTCTCCGTCCCTTAAATTCAGTACTGCCCACACTGCCCCCTACCACCACCACCAAACCTGGACCTAGCACAGCCTCTCGTCCGACCACCACCTCCACTACCACCACCACCACCCACGCCCCAGGACCTGGCTTCTGCAATGGCAAACCTGATGGCCTGTACCCCCACCCAGACGACAGGACCAGCTTCTACATGTGCGCTGGTGGCATCACCCACGTGAGGAACTGCGGAAGTGGCTCTATCTTTGATGACAGCTGCAAGTGCTGCGTTTGGCCCTGAGCCATGAGTGAAGACAATGTGTATTAATACTGATGCAAACATTAGCTATTAAACATACTGTTAAAGTTCTCTTGCATCCACTGTGTATACAATCGTTTACCAAAATGACTCTATCATTAGTGTTGTAGAGAAGCAATGTATTTCCTTGTTAAATATGTAATATAGATGGAAAATTGCAAACAAAAACATTGAAGTACTTTGGTACAAATTGTTGAGTGTTGGTTTGTCATTTCAATCTACTGCTTTCTCCATACTTTACATGTTCCCACACGTTTTAACTGTAGAGTTGGTCATCATTTTTTCAGCACAGTTGTCAGTGTGAGTTTTTTGGACAAAATACAATGCTTTTTATATTCCTTCTTTCTTTTCTTTCTTCTCCTTACAAATACAGTACATCATTATATATAACCAAGTAAATACCAACAATGTGATATCATTGAGTCCCAGCTTTGAGTATCCACAAAGAACAGAGGTTCAATGGCAAAAAACAATGAATGGCACAATATCATATCATGATATGGTTAGTCACGTCACACAAAGAAGAAATAACTTAATATAACATAATATATAACAAAGAGCATGACACTGGGGCAGTGGTGGCCTAAACGTTAGAGAAGCAAGCTTGTGACTTGGAGGTCATTAGTCAGTCTCCGAACTGGCAGATTATATTTGGGTGGGAAAGCTTCACTTGCCCCTCCCTCATTACCATCACTGAGGTGCCCTTGAGCCAGGCCCTTAACCCTAACTGCTCAGTGGTTGCACTGTTCCTGCCACAGAGAGACTTCCTCCCAGGGAAATGTCCCTGAATAAATAATGGTTAACAATTGTCATCAGAAAACTTGGTAGTTAAGAAAGGTGAAAGTGGGGGCAGGACTCAGTAGAAACTTTAATGAGTCCAATTCAAAATAAAGAGAATTTAGTAAGGAGAGTGATGCAGGAAGGCAACTTTGCACGCTCATTTACAGAATGAAAGTGATTTAGCAGACTTTGTCCAGTTAACTTTCCAGAACCCACAAATAACAAAGACGTCACTGTTATTGATAAGTGTTCATTTTTATTATTCACATAAATTATTAGTGTACCAAGAGCCATTGCATCAAAGACACCTACATGATTTTTGTTACAGCTTTAATGTGGATGTTATTGACCTGCATTGCATGTATCTATCGGACTTTGTTCAACTGGTTTCCACAACCTTACAGAGAGAGAGAACATTTAAAGGAAAACTCCACGTGGCTCTGCTTGCTCCTTCACACTTGACAGCAGTTGTGGTCAACTTGAATTCACAACAGTTAGAATGAAAGTTTTGATTAATTCTTTCTCTGTTAGTCTGGGTCTATACTGGAATCTATGTGCATGGAATCCTAACTTTATAGAGCCAAGTTTACAAGAGGTCTGTTTTGACTCACTCTTCATGGGATTATTCCTTTAAACCTATCGAGAGATTTAGAAAGAAACCTGTAAGACCTGAAAGCAACACTTCTATTATTTATTTATCATTTTAATTATTTTACTGTGTTAACTTCTATCATTGCACATGTTACAAGTGATCGTGCAACTCACGTACTTGTAGAACTGGAGTGACATCCAAGTAACTTCCAGTTTGCTCTGTCAGAAACTGTCTGTCTCTCGTCTACAAGCACAGCATGCTAGCAAATTGTTACAAACAAGCATAAACACTTTTGTATGCAGCTGTGTAGCTTAGTTTGCTGTGAATTTTAAATTTTAAAATCTGGCAAATTCTTCAACCTTCAAACTTTGCTGCTGGCTGAGACAAACCAGCTGCTCCTCACTTTACCAGGCAGTGAATCATAGCAGCAGAGGTAGGAGGACAGGGGGAAGCACTGATGTCTGAGTTTTTCATTCTTCCTAAACTTCACTCAGTATTTTGATGTCAAGAACATCATTTATTTTATTGACATTTTAGATTGAGATATTGTTGAGTGTATACCGTGACTGTTTATTCTGATGTGCTTGTAGAAGCCATAAATTCAGCTCATCTGGATGAAATATCTCAAAGTGAGAATCTGTGGTTCTGAGGGTTCTGAATGAGTAAGAACTCTTTGTCAGTGGAACAACAATAAACTGCATCAGCTGATGACTTCCATATCTTACAGTTTTTCTCAATCGCTTTGGCACAATCATCAACTGACTACTAAACTTGTGACTATTTATATGAACATTAGGTCAGTTCTTCACATGACTATAGTATTTGCTTTGGCATATAATGCACTGAGTAAGCTCTGCAGATAAAAAAAAATTGTAATTTGTTTACTATTGAATCATATTTCTCTCAAATGTAATTATACATGTTCAGTGTATTAATCCCTACATGCTAAAAAGGTCGACCAACAATCACAAAAACCTGTCACAAATATATTAGATAAATAATAGTTATGGTATTGTTGTAAAAGTTGTCATATGGATAGACTTAGGCTAAATGGGAAACAATTCAATTTCCTCACAAATTAGAGCAATCACATGCAACTGCTGTCCAATTTAGCTGACAGGTAAAACTCAGAATCAATCAGTTCACAAACACATTTATACTGCAAGGGTAAGACTGACTGTTACAGCTATGGGATGTGGAACATGCAGGAGACAGTCAGCCAGGGAGCAAGAGTCTGCTAATGCAAGAGGAAGGGGCATTAGAGTGCGGGCTGGTAAGGTGAAGGGGGAAGAAAGAGGGAGAGGGGGGCACAGAGGACGAGGATGAGCCAGAGAAAGGCAAAGATAAAGATAAATCTCAAATGAGACACGGCAATTATGACAGAGGCTGGTCGCGGGGTGCAGCCTAATCTGGGCCGGTCCACAGTGTCCTCAAATAGGCTAAAGGTGTCGTTTGAAGTATAGTGTGTGCCATGGCTGACATCACTACTATTCAGCTGCCTAAAAATACAATGTTGGCAATTGGACAATATTACATGGTGGGTAACTATCACACTTTCAGAGTACACTGTCATTTGACAAGATGTCTTTGCATTTTGACTGTCTTGGTCTAAGCAATGATAAAGGAACCTTTTGTTTTGATGACAATGATTTATTCACTGGTGGATTTATTTGCATATTTGCAAGAAACATGAGTTCTTCTGATTGAGTAGGCCAATCATCTGTTGCAGGTCGCATAGAGTGGTGTGCTGAATGTACCACGTGGTGTGAGGATTGTACTTAGGGTCATGAGAATTGTAAGTTTGTTTCAGTAACTGTGCCAAATCGATTGAGAATAACTGTAGTGCGCAGAATTCCGGTTGTAAAGAAAACTTCAATTCAATTTTAGGGTGGCTTTTTCCTTTAACGTGGTTACGCTCCGTGAAACGCAGATTAACACCGAGATGCTTTCTGGGAAATTAAGTTTGAGGTGAATTTACAGCCGGTTTGCAGAAATATCTATCGAGACACCGTTTACTTCATTTCCCACAATTCCTACAGTCGTACTTCCTGGATAGATTACACGTAGCGTCACTGCTGTGTTACAGAGCTTCAGAGTAGAAAACTAGTTACAAGCGGCGAGTTTTACAGACTTACTTTATGCATTTACGATTGTTGTTCACTCGTGTTTATTTACTTCGATTATAATGAAGCCAGAGTGGCGCGTGTCGTTGTGTTTGGTCTCATATGTAGGCTAAGCTATGTTATCAAGCTATTATTAGCAGTCCTAGTTAGCAAGTAGGCTAACAATTAAGTTACTTGTGTTGTTTACATTTTTTCCAAGATGTATACTTTATTATCTGGATTATATAAGTATATGTTCCAAAAGGATGAATACTGTGTTTTGATCCTGGGACTGGATAATGCTGGGAAAACGGTAAGTTATGTTATCATGTCAAGAAATTACAACTGAGTTAGCGTTCACTCGTCGATCGTCTTATTTTCGGCGTCGTTCTGCTTTCACGGTGTTGTATGTTATTTGCTTTGTCGTCTGTCAGTCTTGATTTTTCAAAGCTACAGCGATCAACTGAGGCGTTACAGAGAATCCCAGTGGAATTCCACTCAGAACATCCCTGACTTATATAACCTAACCTGAGTACATATTTATGTGGGGGCTTAACGTTACATGCTTTTGTTTTTATTTCACGCTTTCATACCTTTAAAGTCGCTTTGGATTGGAAAAAACGACATCTATAAGTTTCATTAGCATATATGCTAATGATGTGAATAACTGAAGGTAAAGATTTACTCTCTATTTCACCGTTGTCTCTCTTTGCAGACCTTTCTGGAACAAACCAAAACAAAGTTTAGTAAGAACTATAAGGGAATGAATCTATCAAAGATCACAACCACAGTCGGTCTGAACAGTAAGTGGATGTTCTAGTATGTCTTCACTTGTGCTTGTCATGATGAGTAATGAGCTTCTCCAAACAGTGACTGCCCTGGGTGGTGAAATTGATAATAAAGCAGTTAAATTTAAGCTCCTTGTCAGCTGAGAGGACAATGACTACTTGTGGCCAAAGACCATGAAATTGTGATACAAGTCACCTCTTTTCCACTTTACCTCTATACTCTGAGATCACCTGATGCTGCTTGTCTTTTAATCGACAGTGAGTGCTGCGTTCCCCCCTGCTGCTTTTTTCTTATTGATGTCTCACTTTCCTTCACAGTTGGTACAATTGATGTGGGCAAGGCTCGTCTAATGTTCTGGGATCTGGGGGGTCAGGAGGAGCTCCAGTCTTTGTGGGACAAAGTGAGTTAAAAATGATACAACAATATCCAGAGGGAGATTCTTCACCAAACGCATACTGACACACTTATACACACACTTAATGTTTGGGCTGAAGGCGCTCTATGCGTTCAGCAGAGTGAAAGGATATCCCACTTCTTAGACAGACTTCTACTTTACATTCTCTGTTCTACTTTTTTACTTTTTACCTTTTTATGTATGAAAAAATGCATCATAGAGAAATAAGTCATAATACTGATCAGATTTTCATCTGGTGAGGGCAGTCTGTGTCAAATGAGGGATGTGGATGACCTGAATAAGCACTTCATGATAGACTTTCAGATCCTGAAATGAAATGAAACCTTTTTAAGCAGTGACTGGAGCACAGTAGGGACTTGGTGCTTTCCTATAACAGTCGCAGCAAAAGGTATCTTGACTGACAGCTGATTGAATACACCTCATCAGAACAACACAATCACTGTCGCTTTGATGATGTGTAGTCACTCAGCTGTGATGCAGGATCTTGCTCTGATGTCCTATGTGGTTTTCTTCATGTTTATATTTAGTATTATGCTGAGTCCCATGGAGTCATCTATGTGATAGATTCAACTGATGAAGAGCGCCTGTCAGAATCAAAGGAGGCCTTTGGTGAGTAATGTTGTGGCAATTTATCATATCATTCACACTGTTTTTATTAAAGTGTAGGTTGTGTTTTCTATATTTACCCATGACTTGTGTACCTTTCACTGAGGGAATGACAGTAGTCTGGCAACCTGCTTTATCTTGGGGGCACAGATGTGTCTAGCCGCAGGTGCCTGTGAACCTTCAGAATGTGAGACAGTCTAGTTTCAGTTGCTATTTTTCTAGGAGAAGTTCTTGTTGTCGTGACAATATCTAAAGGTCAGGCATATTTAAAAAGATGAATATCTTCAGTTGAACTTGTCTTTCTAAGAAGATTGCTATAAATATGGGCTACCTTGTATCACTCTTGCAAGTACTGTTGGATGCCTTCGAAGGATAGGTTCACACATTTTCAAGTCTGTCTTAAAACAAAGGTGAAACAGGTTTTGCTTCCTGGAATCGTTCCTCTTGTTCATACTGGCCACTAAATGATCCTTTCTTAATGCAGTTTTAATGGAAGTGATGGGGGACAAAAGCCACAGTACTAATTTGTTACAAAAATATATTATTCAACCTGCACCATATTTCCCCATGTTATTGTGTCGAATGGGGTAATGAGGGACGCCATTCTTTTGAAGATGTTCCAGTGTTGAGCAGGTGTGCTGCAGTTGGCAGCAGTGAAACAGGGCTGCAACATAATTCTTGTGGACAATTGCGCCCCGCCAAAGTACGTCCACTGCAGTGGACAAGCTCAGATTGATGTGGCAGGCTCAGAAGTGTCTGACAACATTATGAAAAGGATTGTTTTAAAATATTAAGATCCTTTTGTTTAACCAAAAACAGTCACTATATCACTCTGTCGAAAGCCTCCAGACTCCCTTGACAAAAACAGTGATTTTACCTCACACAGAGATGCTGGACTACTGCTTCCTCAACTGGTTAATAACACAAACAAACTAACCAATCGAGGCAGCGGTAGACCAGAGAGGTAAAATAACTGTTTAGTCACATGGGAAAATAGGGTCCAGGCTGAAAAATACAGAATTGCCCTTTAATTTAATTGACCTTTCTCCTCCAGAGAAAATGATCAGCAGTGAGGCGTTAGAAGGTGTCCCACTACTTGTGCTTGCCAACAAGCAGGATGTACCGGTACTGTATGATCTTTTTAAATTACTAGGACCATGTTTGAGTTTATGCAGATTCATTTTAAAACAAAGATTATTCTCTATGTTTTGACCTTGCATTTACACAAAGCCAGTGATTTATTGACAGTATGTCTGAGACATATATCAAGCAAAAATTCCAAAGCTTCTCTGGTTGAAACTCTTTGAAACTGTTAGTGGGACTCTATAAACAATAGAATGTGTCACCTCGGGGCATGTTATGTCATATTATTTGATATTGATAATTATCATGGTAAATGTGAAGTCATTATTTCTTTCAAGTTTATAGACAGATCTTTTCTCTCGATTCTAATGTATTAAATCAAACATTTATTGAACCCTTACTAAGACTAAAACTATATTAGAGATAATGATTGGTGTGGTTTTGGCAGTGTTGTCTTTGCTGTTGCAGCTTTCAGTCATGTCTCCTGTCTTCCCTGTTCTCAGAACTGTTTGTCAGTGCCGGACATTAAAACAGCCTTCAGTGACTCTGCCCCGAAGATTGGCAAGAGGGATTGTTTAGTCCAGCCTTGTACTGCACTCACAGGGTAAGACTGCTACTGTGTTAAATGGTACAATGAGTGTGAGAAGGGGGAAAAAAAAACATGATTCAAAATAATTAAGAAAAATAAATACTCACCACACACACCTCTGGAAAAATGGGAGACCTTTCTGTAAAAATGCTATGTCATCTTGACCTTTTTATGTACTAGGTATGAAGAAATTTAACTACTAAATGACTGACTTGCTTGTTTGTTTTAATTCAGGGATGGAGTGAACGAAGGCATTGAGTGGATGGTGAAGTGTGTGGTCAGAAACATTCACAGGCCACCCAGACAGAAGGACATCACGTAAGGTATCATCAGCACTCTTCACACTTCGTATGGACTGAGTTTCTCCTCGAGGATACTCTTTGTAAACCTGGAGCTGACAACTCTCCTCTCTTTGCTGTTACTCTGGAACCGTTTGGATTTCTGTCTCTAGGAGTTCATTACAGACGGCGTGTCATGGTATTTTTTTAATCACCAAGCATCATTTCAGATGTGCTTTGAATGGACTTCTGTGTGTTCCGCTTGTTACACCCTTTGAAGCGGTGTTATAATTTCTTCTTCTTCATGTGTGAGCAGCTGCCTCAGTCTCCGGTGCAGGCTGGAGCTTCACTACTGTCACCTTGCACTGTGATCACAAGAGCACAGAAACATCAGTTCTCACATAAAATATGCAAAACTACAATAGGGTGGTCCAGTGTTTGTTCACAGTACGCATTAACTGAACAATGTTTAGCTTACTTTTTAAAAGTTGAGTTGAAATGAGAATTGTCCTTCTTTCTGTGTAAGGAAATATCACCCAACAATGATACTGCATCTATTGTATACTTTTTTTTAAAAAGAAGATTTGAACATATTGTTTGGAAACCCTCGACAGCTTTGAGCGACGACAAAGAACGGGATTTGTTAGGCACATGCTGGTACTTCCTAGTTTGTTCGGTTTGTATTCCATTCGGGAAGTGGAAGCTAGTTAGCCTAGCTTGCTACCATTAGCACTGATTCCCACCTGCACACTGAGCGCTATGTTCATCCCACATCAGACAAAGGACGAGATCTTGACCATCGTAAGTTAGGAGCACAGATATCAGATAGTACAAAGCAAATGTGAACAACATGAAACCCCAACTGGTTAAGTGCCTGTGTGGCAGGTGAAATTGAAGTAATACAACAAACTGTTGTCTGGGCGGACGCTAAATATAGTGTCGCACCAGTCAACTGACATCAGAGTCATCCCCCATGAAGAATGGCACTGTAACTGCAAAAGGATAAATGAAACAAATTTCCTCCTTTTTAGTAATAAGTTAACAATTTTGTGCACTTATCAGTCACCAAGGACATAAATACAGTTTTATTTGCAAAAGTTTATTTTAATTTCAGTTCAACTTTTAGGTTTGAACTCTCTTACTTTACTTGCTGTTGACACATTTTTAGCTCTTAACAAACTTTTCTTGTAATATCATTCATCATGTTTTTGGCTTCAGAAATCTATCATAAGACAAATACATGATGGATAAATGAGGAACTTTTCAAAAGTTAGAGACATTTCTCACAACTTTTACCTTAAAGAGTTTTCCTGCGGCAGTTGTGTAACATTGAGAGTCCATATCCTAATAATGTGAGCTAAAATTGAGAATAAATACTCTACTAATAGTTTTGTGTACTTTACAGTGTTAAAAAGAATTTTTTGCATTCTTTTGATCATGGCAAAGGACAACTCAATGGGGCTCCAGAGAGACTGTGGTACAGCAGCCCAAACAGCACAGAGTCTTACAGACTTGTGTGAGTGGTACACATACAGTTCAACAGCCACCTAACTGTTGTTTTTTAGGTTTCTTTGTTACCTGTATATCATTTGACCTCTATAAAACATTCATAGTGTGATTAAAACTAAATCTTGACTTTGGAAATGATAATGTTAATAATTAGCAGATTCACTAAAGATGGTTGTTGCTGAGCACCCTGGGGAATTTTGCTGACATCTGCTGCCAGCAGTTTAACTTGAAATGTATGAAGCGGTTAAAGAAAATGAAGGTGATGTCCTCTGTAAGTCACATATATAGTAGATGATGATCATAATAAATTTGTGATTCAAGAAAATGTCATGTTTCAGTATATCAGTACTCACATATTCCTCACAACTCGACCCAGGACTGTATCTATCAGGCTATGAAGGTTAATGATATTATCAACTATGTGTTTTTAATTTATTTGTTTTGTTTACAAAACTACAGGAATTTATCTGCAACTGGATGAGTTTAAATGTAAAATGTTATTATATTGGACTCCCCAAAAACACAAATATAATCTAGTTTGTCATGCACAACTGTTCAATCTTTAACATTTTGTTCTGTGTTTAATATCTTAATTATATATGTAAATTGTTGATTATATAAAGGCACATGTAACTCTCAATATCAGTAAAGTCAAAGTTACAAAAGTCAAAAAAGCAGAATGGTGAATGACTTCATCACCATTTACCTGGAATTGTTTAAACAATTGTTAGTAAGATGAGAATGAATCAAACATATCTCCATAATATCATGGGAAACAAGTCATAAAGAAACTTGTTAATGATAGTCCTCTGGCCGGCCTTGGATCTGAATTTAAACAATCTGACATTTATCACTTTTATCAAAGCACTTTACAATTTAAATCTCATTTACCCCTTCGCTCGCACACCAGTGATATTGAGTGTCTTGACCAAGGATGCTTGGACATGTGGACGGGGATTGAATCTTTAACCTTGTAATTAGTGAGTGACGGCCACCTGACTTGATTTGATCTATCGCTATTTCAGTCATCTCACAGTGTAATGTTTTTCTCAAAATGTTGACGCGTTTAGTAGACGCCACACATACATAGAACTTGCAACTCCTATTTCATAGTCCTAAACTTGCTATTAAGATAAGCGTCAGTGTTTGAGAACTGCAGGGCTCTCAGTGCCAAAAATTTGGAAATTTGATTGTAGTCTGAACTATGATTAAAAAAAGAGCGTGTGTTCAATATAATTTATGTGAACGATCAAGGTTCAAGAATGGAGCAACAGCTAGTAGATGTAGTATGTATGTTTGTATAGTGTAATGCATGTCTGAGTCAGGAGTAGTAAAATATCTCATAGGGCTGGGCGATATGGCCAAAAATGTTATCACGATAAAAACATTTCATACCATTCGATATCAATAATTATCACGATAAATGTCAAATCATTATTTCTCTCAAGTTTAAAGGCTGATTTTTGCTCCTGAGTGAAAATTGAAGAAACCAGATGGTTAATCATGTGGTTAAACTTTTCTTTATGGTCAGACTGTGACAAACACTTGATGCCAAACAGCAAATCTGAGGTAGAACATTCAAAACTATTATGATAAAATCTTTTTCAACAAATTTGATTTGTATCTCTTTTTTCAGTCCCTTTTCCTCAACAAAATAAATATTTTAATAGAAAAATTAAGTGCTAATTTGTTCGTGATTCAAATGAATTAAACCAAATATTTATTGACGATATATTGAACATTTATTCTATTGTTATTGGGGGAAATTTTATTGCGATAATTATGGTTATTGCCCAGCCCTAATATTACATGTGATGAATAGCTAAATACATTTAATACATTCTAAAGGTATTTTCCGCCACATCTGCATGTTTCCAGAATCCAGAAAACAAACATGAAGAGACAGGAAATTTGAAGTTTGGAACTAATGAACGAGCACTTGGGAGTCAGTCAAAACAGAGACCGACACCCTCCTGACATTTTTGGGTATTAGCAACCTCCATTAGTTTTATTTCATAATAAATTAGACTTAAACGGTTGCCGTCCACCATGTATTATTTCAGCCAGCAGGAATCAATGGTCCATTTGAAATGCTAATGTTTCTGTGCCACACATGCATGGTGCTAAATTAAAGCAGTGTCTGGTGCTGTGATATATTTTTAATCAACATTATTCTCATTAATCACAACTAGGGAACTGCATGCTGTATTCTTCCTGTATGAATTGAATAACAAAAGAGAAAACTCTTATGAACTCTATGGGATGGAGTCATAAGAAAGGACTTACTGTGGGAAGTTTGCCCTGCTAACATCATTAAAATCCATTGGATATTTACTACAAAATCTCATCTCAGCGTGTCCTCAGTATGACTGCATCATTCCAATCTATAACATTGATTCACTTACAAGAAGTAACCTATCCCTGAGTCATATTCCTCATAACCTTTGACCCCTGCCCTTTCGCTCCGATGAATGATGGATGGTTCTCAGCTACTGACGTCAATTGTACACTAGAGGCTGACATTTTTCGGTAATCCTGTGGAATCTCGTTGGATGGGAGTCAGTTTCACCATTTATCACAGGACTAGGACGGGACAAGAAAAAAGGTAAACAGGAGCGGGCATGATGGGAATCATACATCAATTTATGATTATGCAGTTCTAATATGAATAAATGCAATTTTCTGATTCTTTTACTGGGAACGGGATGGGATGAGAGTCATTTTTCTGGTATTGGGACCCAACAGCAGTGAAAATCCACTCCTGTGTTACCCTCTTTTGTACACTACTTTAAAGGATGAATCGTGAGATAGTTTTTGACGAAGCTGAATAGTCCCACTAGACTTTTGGACAGCACCACAAAATTGCTAAAACACCATCAAGTAGACTAAATAGTGAATAGTTTAGGAATTCAGACTCAGCCATTGTCTCTTCATGGATTTTGGTTGGTCTGCTTTAGCCACGCAGTGATGATGTGTTTCCACAACAGCCGATAGCCACGCTGCTGTGACGGTCTCCTCCCAGCAGCTAAACTTGTGTGTCCGAGCTGGAGACTAGAGAGAAATAATAATAATCTAATAATAATAATCTTTATTTGTAGAGCACTTTTCAAAAACAAGTTACAAAGTACTTTAACAAGTGTAAAGACAATAATACCCAAAAGACAATAATACAAAAACAATAAAAGATAAAAGCAAGAAACATTGAAAAGACTAAAATACACGTTTAAGATAAATATAAAATAAGTAAAATAGAATAAAATAAAAGGGATAAAATAAAGTCAAATAAGGGAAAGGCTCTCCTATAAAAGTATGTTTTAAGAAGGGACTTAAAAGAGTTCACTGACTCAGCTGACCTGATTTCCTCGGGCAGGCTGTTCCAGAGCCTCGGGCCCTGACAGCAAACGCTCTGTCCCCTTTAGTTTTCAGTCGAGACTCTGGAACAGACAACAGACCTCTGCCCGAGGATCTCAAGGTACGTGCTGGTGCGTATGGGACTAAAAGGTCAGAAATATAACAAGGCGAGAGGCCATGAAGAGCTTTAAAAGTAATCAATAGAATTTTAAAGTAAATTCTAAAACATACTGGGAGCCAGTGTAATGAAGCTAAAATAGGAGTAATGTGGTCATATTTCTTTGTTCTGGTAAAAGCCTGGCAGCTGAGTTCTGGACAGTCTGGAGTCGATCAATAGATTTTTGGGTTAAACAGGTGAAAAGGCTGTTGCAATAATCCAGGCGTGATGAGATGAAGGCGTGTAAAATGGTCTCGGTGTCCTTAAAAGTTAACATAGATCGAATTTTTGCTATATTTCTAAGTTGATAAAAACATGATTGAACAAGCTTTGTGGTGTGCTGCTCGAAATTTAAATTACTAGCAAAACTTCCTATTTGACAGGTAGGATGAAAACCATTCTAGGGCAGTACCAGAGATCCCCACCCAGTGCCTCAGTCTGTCTAACATGATGTTGTGATCAATGGTGTCAAAAGCAGCGCTAAGGTCCAGGAGTACAAGGACTGAGCACATGCCTTCATCAGCAGACATTAAAAGGTCATTGGTGACTTTAAGCAGGGCAGTCTCCCGTGCTGTGGTACTTCCTGAAACTTTTCAAATATTTTGTTATTTTCCAGCACAGTGAGTAGCTGTTTGGACACAATTCTTTCTAGAATCTTTGCAATAAAAGGCAGTTTTGAAATTGGTCTAAAAGTATGTGGGATGGAGGGATCTAAACCTGGTTTCTTTAAAAGTGGGTTCACGCAAGCCGTTTTAAAATAATCAGGGACATAACCAGTAGATAGGGAGCTGTTGAAAACAGAGATCAAATGGGGCCCAACAGAATCCATTACTTTCAGTAAAAATTTTGTAGGTATTACATCAAGTGGGCTGGAGGACACTCTCATTTGTGATACTGTTTTTAAAAGCTCAGACAAGTCGATGGGATAAAACTGGTTAAAACTCTTGTTGCTGGTGAGGGACCTCTGAGTAAGAGGCCGCGGGGGTAATAGAGGCTCTGATTGACACCACCTTATTGGTAAAATAGGATAAAAACAATTCACAGTCATCATTACTTCCAGCTGAGGCACAAGGAGGGGTTGGGTTTACCAGCTGATCCACAGTCTTAAACAGAAACCTGGGATTGTGTTTATGTGTAGTAATGAGTTCAGAAAAATAGTGTGTTCTCGCCTCCTTAACCATGTTATTGTAGTTAATTAATAAATCCTTCAGACTGAGGTAATGGACTTGGAGATTGGATTTTTTCCATCTGTGCTCTGCTTTCCTGCATTCCCTTTTTAGGCTGCGAATGCGTCATTTATCCAGGGTTGCTTACTAGCTTTAGACGTAGGCCTAACCTTTAGAGGAGCAGTAATATTTAGTGACGAAAGGCAGATATGATTGAAGCGATCGACCAGATTGTTGGTGTTGGAATCAGACAGGTGTTGGCTTTGGCTCTGAAAGAATGCGCAAAACTTTGAAACATTTTTGTTCATTAAAGATGCGAGAACACACGGAGCTTGGTGAGGCGGCATGAGTAACAGGCAAATCGCAGCTAAAAACAATACATCTGTGGTCAGATATGGTCATGTCCACTAATTCCACAGAGGAAATGCTGACACCCAGGGTAAAAACCAAGTCCAGTGTATGACCACGGTTATGTGTTTGCCCTTTGACATGTTGTTTGAAGTTAAAAGAAGTGGCCATATTTAAAAAGTCAAGCATTAACATTGGTGGGGTCATCAACATGAATATTAAAACTCAAAGAACAATTCTGTCATAATTTAAAACTAGAGTAAATAAAAATTCAGGAAGTTCTGATAAAAATCCTCCAGGCGG